AGAGAGAGAGAGATGAAGACACTCTTATAATTAGTGTAATCTAAACCCAAGAAAAAAATTGAATATATTGCAGCTTACCAGTTCTTTGATGAGGTAGCTGCCTTCATTTCTTTTTTCCCAGATTTTTCACGTTCATGTTTACCTGGTAATCCTGCAAATAACACACTTCCTCGCCCTGGTTGGCTGCACTTACTTTTTCACTGTATCTAAAGAGGTAGCCATGGTTGTCACTCAGGCTGGACTTTAACCAAGAAAGAGAAGATTGTTTAATACTTTCAGTTTAATTCACAGGAAGTGACAAGGACTTTTGGCAAGATCACCAGGTATTTTCTGAACCTGGTAAAAAATGTTCTAAGCCTGAGAAATCCAAACTAATACCGCCACTACATCTAAGGACTAGTAAGGTACAATGTAATAAGTAGGGATGCACCGATACCAGTGCCGATACTTGGCATTTTCATGAGAACTACCAGCGTTGCAGCGTTTGCAGCTGGGACCTGGCTCTGGCACTCCACCACTGTCCTGAAATCATTAGTCTGTATTGTTTTAGAAAAACTGTCACATGGCAATACACAAAAATGTATCAGTACTTGTATCTGTGAGTCCTTGGACATATATCAGTACTTATACTTGAAAATATTAATCCTTTGTTAGGATGGACTGTGTTCAAATCTAGTTTTACAAATGATAATGAGATCTGCAAGCAAAGTACAGACAGGGTTAATTAGAGAAACATAATTGTGCACAGCCACCTAACTTTACATGGGAGGGGAGCTACCGTGTTTCCCCGAAAATAAGACACTGTCATATTTTTTTCCCCAAAAAAAAACACACTAGGTCTTATTTGCGGGGATGTCTTATTTTTTCCCCCCCATTGAGCATCCCCTCCACATACTTTTTTTCTACCATAATTTAAATAATAGAGATAAAATATGCTGTGGAGGCTGAGGCACACAGGTGTCACACAGAGCAGAGATATGGAATGTACTGTATCACACAGTACCTGAAGGCTGCAGCTGTCCTGGAGCTCTCCTCTCTGATGCCGTCCAGGGAGCCACCTCGTCGCATGGACCAGTCAGAAGTTCCCTCACCTCCCCTGACCTCACTCCGTCCCCACTGGCTGTGCCGCTGCCCCTGCTGGGAAATGTAGTTTTCAGCGGAAGCTTTTCATGTATTGTAAAAGCCGAGGCAAAAGCCGAACTAGGTCTTATTTTTCAGGGTAGGTCTTATTTTCGGGGTAGGTCTTATTTTCGGGGAAACACGGTAGGTAGGATTTTTATGCAAGTAAAAAGCACTTAAAAATGGTAAGCAGCATTTTTATTTTAAGTTATGCAATGTAACAAACATAAAGTAAATGCTATCTCAATTTGGCTGCAAAAGTGGAACTACTGTTTAAGCTATGTTTAGAGGTTTATAGTTGTTTGAAATTGTAACTTCAATTTTACATAAAAGCAGTTCTTAATGGAATTATCCAGTAAAGAAATACTTAAATATTAACCATATATTGCATAATCCTTCTCTCCAATCTTTAAAATCCTTGTGGTCATTTGTATCCCCTTTCATTTCCTTGCATGCCATCCCCATTCTACCTTGACTATGTAGAAATTTTAATTATGACATTCTGTCATGTGTCACGCTATAGCAAATTTCAGGAAAACTCATCCAATCATACTACTCATGCAATGTTAGAGATGTGTTGGATATAGGGTATAAATCAAAGATAAACTAGGATTAGGGCATACTTTCCAACTTTCTGAGATGAGAAGAGGGACACCTACCAGAACAATGTATTTAGGCAAGGGACACCCCTCAGTTATGTGGAACAGCGAGAACATATATGCCAAAAATGATTGGTTAACCCAGAATTGTTTCTTTTTTTTTCACCCTTGCGTTTCCTTTTTATTGGCTTTTTGAAATCAAGATTACTAACAGATGAGATGAAGAGATATGATGAAGGTTTTAGTGCAGATTAACACTTTTGATAGTTAAATAAAACCTTTTCATAGATAGCTGTACACAGGGCTGGATTTCCCACAAGGCCAACCAAGGCCCGGCCTCGGGGCAGCAGGGAGTAGAGGGGCAGCAGGGGTGTGGAATTCCTATCTCCCGATGCCCAGGACATGCAGTTTTGGGCGGGTAGTTGTTTTCTACATTTAGCCTTGCTTTGGGGAAGCCACCGCTCGTTCAGTACAAGTGATCTCGGCAATGTCGCTGAGATCACTTGTATGCAGCCTGCAGACCCACCATTCTCCATGGGGGGGGGGGGCACTTTGGGGAACTGGGCTTGGGAG